TGTAAAAGATGGCGTGGTAAATCCCATAGGCGTGGAAATTTTTATCAGCTATAACTTCAAAACCATAAGTGAAATTTAAATTTGGTATGCAGACTATGGTAGGTGCTTATAGTAAGGTGTATATGAATGAGTTTATAAAAAGGGGCGTGGCACATCCCGTAGGCGTGGAATTTTTATTCAGCCATAAATTGGGAACCATAAGTTCCATGAACTTGAAATTTGGTATTCAGACATAGGTATCTATGGAAGGTGTTCAGATAAAGTATATATAAATGAGTTTGTAAAAGGGGATATATATATATGTGTTCATCTATTAGATAACTCAGATATTTAAAACTCATGAACCAAAAAGACAAGATCACGCTGGCAGGAGACTAGCCCGTTAGAATCGCATTTAGGAAAAAAGTTGAACGATTTTGACATTAGCCGTTTGTTTACATTTCTTCGTTGTTTACAATTTGATGGTGGCTTTTTACTGCAATTATCTTCATTTTCGCTTGTGACAACGTGTGTACACATAAGATAAAGAATAATTTAACACAACGGTACGATTTATAGAAGAATTTGCATAATAAAAATGATTTTTCATGCGTTCAACAATTTCGCGGTTTTCTCCGTTCTCTTCGTTGTTTACTTCTTACAACAAAGATGGCGTCGAGATTTCGGCAGCTAGAAAATAACTTTTTTCGTTCTTTCCTTCCCGCGTGATCTTGTGTCTTTCGTTCATGTTTAAAACTGTGTGTGTTTTTTTTTTGAAACCGTACCGTCTTTAGATTATTTTGCAATGGAAAGATTAAATCGTTTTTTTAATTCCGCGATGCTGTTAAACGAAAAAGTTTCATTCATAATGAATAAAACTCCTTCCGAATTAAGCATTCTACCAGAAAAGTGCAGCTATACTAAAACAGCTAATCGAATAGGCAGCTAAACGGAATGTACCGTAGTTGAATAATTTTAATTTAGAAATTTGATCGTTACTTTAATCCACCTAATATTAATAATGGAACAGATTTGTAGTACAAGTGATGATCAATATATATTAGTTAAAGCACGATAACGGTAAAAGTATGGCTCATAAGGATGCCTTGATATAAACAAAGAAAATAGTTTGTCTCCTTTAATTTATGCTGAATTGAATATTTGTACTACTCTTTTATATTTTGATTTGTTTACCCCGAACGACGTCGGGTGCTCTGCTAGTATATAGATATAGATGTACATACATGTATAGACGTAGATGTAGATATATGTAGACACAATAGGTGCATTCTTTTGCAATCGAGCTACAAAAGAACACCCGCTTAAATGACGAAACACACGCAAAGCAACAACACAAACTGGGCTATTTATCCGAGATCAACCAGGTCGGTTAAAAAATACGCGACTTGAAGGGTAGTGTTATTTAGTGAAAAAATGCTCTATTGTGAATTGTTAATGGGAAAGTGGAGAGGGAAATTTTTGTTTCCTTATATACGTGACTTATATTTTAAATAAGTATACACATATATTACGCAAATACCTCGTATAATTACTCATTTAAGTTGGTTTTTGTATCTAAATCCCGTTAAACTAATGACATGTTTCTTGCCAGCCAACAAAAGGGTCGAGTTGAGCGTTCTTTTGCCGTTCTCTTACAAAAAAAAATTCACCTAATATTCATATAAGATAAACGTGACATATAATGGAATGATTGTTCGAGTCTCCGTGTCCTTCGGTCTGCTAGAGGATATTGATACGAGTCGATATTTGATTTTCGGATCATATATGTATATGTACGTATGTACTTCTAAAATACCGTCTATCACAACATGATCGATTTGGTTTTTCGTAGTTCAATCTGGAGACAGCAACGTAGCTTGATGGATTTTTTATGCTGGAACTTAGTATTGCATATTACCACGCTGCGGGTCCCGGCAAAGTCGATAAACCTCACGCTATCATCGAGAACTAGAGGGTGAGAACATTATAATTCCGACTTTACTTTACCCAAATGAATTTTTGGTGCCCCCTTATGTATGTACACACATACATATATACATACATACAACATAAATCCGTATATTTTCTGCCTTTAAAACAAAAGTTTTGGACGCAAGAGGAGGGACTTGAATCCTGGACCCTGGATTAAAGGTTCAATGCTTTACCGACCGAGCAACCCGTGCACATAAACCGTTACGTGGCTAATGGGACTTTCGCCCGGCCACGCCCTTCAGCTAACCGCAATATTGCATATTACTGAATTAAAAAGCAATGTAAGGTATTTTACATTTTTTAAAATATTTTATTAGCTTTGTTCTTTTGATTTTTAACCTATGCTGATTTTAGTTATCTATAGCATTAGAATAATCTTATATTACTACATCTTATATGCATTAATTTATGCATATTGCGCGTAGTGCAACTTATTCAATTTACTAATTTCTATACATACATACATACAAATTAAAGTTGCATTGCTAATTTCGTATTTTCTACTGAAATTGTTTCAATACTTCACGGGTTAGTAAAATTTTAATGTTGTTTTTGAATAAGTTGTATTCCTTTACTATAACATTTATTTTCTTTACATGGAATGCAGTATCCTTACATACATATACAAATGTATGTATAAGTAGAGTAGCTCGTACCAAGGCCTACGTTTACTAAGACCTACCTCAGATATCATACATACATATGCCAGTAGAGTAGGTTATACTAAGACTTACATTTACTAAGACCTACCTCATATTTCATACTTAATCAAACTTTTAATCATTATGTATTTATACTGATATTGCAAATTACTTATGAAACTAAACAGTTGCGTATTACTAAACTCAATTGAAACAAAAAGAAAAACGTACAGGTGAAAAATCGTATTAAAACAAATTCTGCTAAAATGATTCACGTTATATTTGATTTTTATTATTTTTGAACTAATTTAAGTTTTTGTTTAGTTTATGTAGATTTTGTTAACCTACATTGACACGAATGCACTAACCTTAGCATTAACAGGGAATAAAAATAGCAGCCTGCTTAGATACATACACACCAAGTCTTTATACATATATGCATTTCTGAAAAGGTTCAGATGTGTAAGCAAATTAATCAAAACTAATCTTAGGGGTTTGCAATTTCATAATCGCATTTTTCTCAATTGTAATTTGATTCATGTTCCTATATGTAATCCTTGTACACGCACAAATTATACCTCTGCTGTTATATATAATCAAAGTTGTGTTCAAAAGGGGTTTATTGATAAAAATGTTTACTAAAAATTGTTGTTGTCAGTATCAATACACTTGAAAATTATGCTACCGATAAGAATTATACATACATACATAGATATGTACATACAAACATATCTATGTACGTACATACATACAATGTTTTAAATAAAACATTGTTGAAAATAGTGTAGAACACATTTAGGGCCGTTTTCTCAAGTAAACTGTATCTTTAAAGCTCACTTTATATTTAAAGGTTGCATTAAAATTTATCATTGTGTCTAAAGTAAAGCATTTTATTATCGGTTTTAAATTGGTTTATAACCAAGAAACATATATTCGTCAAAAACCGATAACAGAAATGCTTAACTTTATACATAGCTTTATTTTTAATCCAACCTTTAAATATAAAGTGAGCGTTAAAGTTAAGGGTTACTTCAGAAAACGGCCCTTAGTCTTGTAATTTGAAGCGTGGGAAACCAATATTATTTTTTTTCTTAAATTATTTATGACTGTGTGCTAACGAAATGCCCTGTTTTCCCCGAATTTGTTTTACTTTTTTGTTAAAAATTTTTACTCTTAAAAGATTTCTAAAATCACGTGCTTATTAAGTCCAACTGCGAATTTCCCTAGTGCGGAGATTCTAAAAAATTCAACGACAATAAAAACAAATTAAAGCTACTTAGATATTAACCAATTTAAAAGTTGAACAGATATTTCTAATACGAATATACTATATACACATATTTTTGAGTGAAAGTGCGAAATTCATTTTAATACTTATTTTGAAACGTACATATTTAACCAATAAACCAAATTAAGTACAGACACCACGATTCGCTCGCAAACAGCATTTGGCTAAGTTCAAGTTTTCCAAGTTCTCTATCAATGTTGACAATGGTGTCACATCCGGTTGTGGATTTTGGTCCCTAACCGATTCCGGTAGGGTATTTCGTTCCCAAACCGATTGGCAAATCGACAGTTTTAGCGGCACCAGGCACATCATGAACAAAAATCGTAAACAGTTTGAGATGCGCTGTGTAAGAGCTTTCGTTTGAGAGCTGCAGGTTAAGTGCAGCCACAAACCTTAAATTACTTGCCTACAGTTTGACAATTATACTAACGCGGCGCTACTATCGGCAACAAGCCTGCCTTCATTGTCTTTTCAAATTGTAAGTAATTTAAATCAATTAAATTAAAATTTACACAATCTAAATATGAAGGTAAATGGACATTAAAAAAGTTCAAAAATTTCGTATACAATAATATCACTATTAGGATTTTAATTTCATTGAACTTTCCAAGCTTGTGAGCTGATGACAGCGCTATGTGTTTTCTTACATCTAATGGCTTTTCGAATACTGCTTAGAGAATATAGCGGTTTATCATACTGGACGGTTTTCGTATTTCCACGAAAAAGAGGACGAAACGGAGGCGCTCCAATTTGAATCCTTCATTTCTTTTAAGGTACATATATACACATATATATAGAGGATTTTCAATGTAAATTCGACGAATTTACGAGATTCCAAAGCAATCGAAAATTTTGTTGAAATTCCTCCTTACTGACCAGTATCATAAACCTGCACGAGCCTCTCCCGGAAGAGTAGGCGATAGACACAAACCCTCCACAGGAGTACTAAACGCATTTACTTGAAGGCTCGTTGCTTGCTTAACACAAATCAGTTGCATTCAGAAATTATCATCGTTGTTCATTTTGTTAGCTGTCGCTAGCAGCTAGCAGCAGCGTATGAAGCATCTACAGCTTCATCGCAACAGCAACATCAGCATCTCTCAGCAACAAAACATGTTACAACCACTAACGATTTCATTCTTGAGCTCCAGTTCAGTCGACTCTGTGTCTTCACACAAATCCTTCTCTTGACAGAGTGGCAACTCCGAAATACGTTCTAACTGGAAACCAAGATGGCTTTGATGGTTTGGCAGGTGTTGTTGTAGATGTTGTGGTTGTTGGTATTGTTCTTGTTGTAGATGTAGCTGATGCTCCTGTTGGTGTTGCAATTGCTGTTGATGTTCCCTGAAGATAACTTGAGATCAGAACTCTTGCGGATATTTGACACATTCAGCGTTGGAGGCGGTCGCGGAAGCGAACAGCGAATTTCCGCCGCCCGCACCGACTCCCACACCAACACCTACACCGGCACCACCGCCCAGCGGCATGCCGGCGTCTTGTGCGTTCTGTGTCTGATAGCCGCCAGCTGCTACACTAGCCGCTGCCGCCGCCTGATATGGTTCCTGATACAACTGATTGAGTCTCTAACCAGTACCCGAAAAGTGCCACGCGTCCTATGCACTCAGGTGAGCAAATTGTGACGGGTGGATATCGAATTGATGATATGGATGACCGTAGGGGCCCATGTGATAGGGTACGATATTCATGGAAGCCATTTTGTGCTCCTTTTTCCATTTCATTCGTCGATTTTGGAACCAGATTTTGATCTGTCGTTCGGTGAGGCAGAGTGCGTGCGCAATTTCGATGCGTCTTCGGCGGGTCAGGTAACGATTAAAATGGAATTCTTTCTCTAATTCTAACGTCTGGTAGCGGGTGTATGAGGTCCGTTGTCGTTTCGTCTCACCGTTGGCATTTACAGTACCTTTAAAGAGAGCGAGATTAAAGAAAAACATGAGAGTGATGTTAATGTTGCGTTAGGCATAAAGATAGAATAAATTCTTAATAAAAAATATAATTTAAAGAACGCATGAGAAGTAAACTTAGTTAAAATATTTTCGTATCATAGTCCTTGTATGCTTTAAGTTAGATACATACATATGTATGTAAATATATGACCCATATACATATGTAAACTTAGTGAGGTAACCCCCGAGAGCATTCAGACAAAGCAACATTTGTCACCTTTCCCAGCGTTTGCAGGGCGTAGCGACTGAGTGTATACATTATAACCTTGTCTGTCTGTCATATTGACTGACTGCCACACATTTCACAAGCATTTATGTTGCTTCTTTAAGTTCAATCTCTTGTCTATAACTTTTCTATATATTCTATTTATTGTTATTCACGTGCTTAGTATTGTCATATTCTTTCCGCAAATGCTTTCCACCTCCTGCTAAAAAGCCAATATAGGGTACAATATAATACTGCGCTAAAAAGTAATTTTTTCGAGGTATACTTTTGTACCAATGCACATTTATGAAAAAGAATAAATAAATCAAAAGAAAATCGTCTAACAACTTTGCCACATTGCACGCCCCCTCATTACAGTCAACGCGTCTTAGCCGCTTCTTATGCTGTATAAAGCACAATAATAAAGGCTTAAAAAGTCGACATTATCAGCCGCGCACGAGCGACTCCGCCGCTGGAAGGCAACGCAGAAACAAGCCTCTGAACGAGTGACTTGCCGTCTGCTTATTCAGCCGCATTTAAGGTGTACTTACGATTTTGTTGCAGTCGCACTGTATTGTAGTGTTTTACGTCCATTGATGAGATGTAGTTGGAAAACTGGAAAAATTCAAACAGCAATCAAGACTTTGTGGCTAAATTGCGCCTTGACACGTGATTTTTTGTGAAAAGACCATCGCGTTCAAAGTTTAAATGGGGTATTTGGCGTTCTTCTCGTGCTTGACTTTCGTCCTCGCATCTGTCCACGCGATACACTTTTCTGGTGCTTTGGAGGTCGATAGATACATACATAGGTGTTGAAGAGGCGGTTGAGATACAGTATAATGGCAAATGGAGGTAATGGCAATTTTTAGAATAGCAATATGATTAGAGTTAGTTGTTTTTGTCGGTAGATATCGGTGTTGGTCTAGACGAGCAGTCACATAGAAAGGTTCAAATCTCAATTCGTGTTCATATTTTCGAGTTGCAAGTTCTGTTTATTTACATACTTTACGCTCCACTATTTTGAATTGACTAAGTTGATTGGAGTTGTCATTGATGCCAAATGCCTTTTTTCCAGAGGGTGTCCAATTGTAGGTTTTTTAGATAAACTAATCTAATTGTTGATTACCTCAAATGGATGTGAACGCCTGGAAACGCCTTCGAAACACCTATAAGTATGCGAATGGGCGACTGGGAAAATGTGCAAAGTGCTGAAGAAGAGGTCATGTACATATGTATGTATGCACATATGTACATACACATGTCATAAATGGCAAAGAAATAATGATGTTATTAGCGCAGTGAAGGTAGAGAAAGATTCCTAGTTGAAATACAATTTATAATTTAATTTTATTATTTATTCATTTATATTATACATAAATTCATAACTATGTGTATGTATGTATATATGGTTTATGTAAAGTCATTCGCAACAACCAAGAATATCATTGTTTTATTTACAGTATTCAGCATATTGTATTTAATTATGGATATATGTAATTTACCACAGCTCAAAGAAAAGTCTCATGATGCGTAATTTACTAAATTATTATGCTTTCAATAATGCAATTCGCCGAGGTACAGATACAAGTTATTTTAATGCTGTGTCAACATTAGCATCCAGATTGCGATGAATATTGAGAAAAGCTAACACATTGAGACGATCTTCTCTCATAGTTGATCTCAAATAAGTTTCTAGGCGGCGCAAAGTTGAAAACGTTATTTCGTTCGTATAAGGTAAAACAGCTATGACTTTAAGTACTTGATTCGGAAAAGCATCAGAGCTATAAATATCCAAAGCTTCAAATGAATTTTAAATATTTATACCAGTGATGCGTTTTCTCCTAAGTTAAACTTAACTTTTCTATATATCTGGCGCCGAATCATGTGAAATGGATATATATTTCTCAAACAGATCACAAAAAGATAATTCATTGTCAAGAAAGAGGCAAGCAAAATTAGACAAAATATTTAGAAATCGATCTTGCAAATGCGTAATTAAAAGATCTAGGTACGATATGTAAATCGCGATTCGCTAATACTCTTCAAAATGCTTCCAAGTGATTTGAATCTGTTGTGTGTCGTTACCTTGTATGAGCGAAATTAAACAATACCGAAACGTTTGCTGTTGTTTTTAAGCTCGTTCTTTGATGATATTTATTGAATTATTTTGCCAAACCGTAACTAAATAGAGAAGCGAAGGGAATTCTGGATCACAAAAAAAGAAAAACTTCTAATGTTATCAATTCAGAATATATTCGACTCGCGTATGGATTTTCACTATCTGACAATCCATACCATGATTCCAGAAAATTATAAAAATAATAAAAAAATTATAAAATTATTAGCACCAATAGTTGACTGCTCGAAAATACAAATAAGACACAATACTCGCTGGTGTAATTTTATATATAATATTTTATATATGTGACCTGGTCTACGGAAAGGGGGCTTAGGTGTCAAAAAATCAATTTTCACTTTTTGGTTGATTCGGATGGAAGATGAGATGCTTTTTCACGTGGTGAAAAGCAGAAAATCCTAACTTGCTTAGAAGTGTACTAAAAATGTAGAGAAAGAAGAGTAAAAACGAGAAAACGAAACGAGTTGCTTACTTTTAACAGCTTTTTCACAGAAAACTAGTTTTCGCACGTAAGCTCCCTTTTCGTATACCAGGTCACATATATAATTTTATATATATAGGGGTCTTCTCAAACACAATATTTGAATTCATATTTTTTTTTAATATATTTGTTGGTTTCCCTTCATTTTTGCTTGAATCGCTATTTTAAATGACTCGTTTTTTTACATAGGTGGTCCCCAATAGCCTTCCCTTAATTGCAAGGAAAAACACCATTCACTATTAGGCTACCTCAATAAACAAGTTTTACAGAGATATTAAAATAGTTTTTACCATTATTATCCTTAACTAAATTTGTATGCATGTTTCCCTCCAGTAGGGGGGTTTCAACAACAGGAAGTATCTCCTGTTATCAAACAAACAGTCAGTATTGACAGTTACAATTTCGAAAAGGTAGAGAATTTCGTTTACTTGGGAACACTGATAATAATGTCAGCATCGACATCGAACGCAGAATCACTCCTGCCAACAAGTGCTACTTTAAAATTTGATTTTGCAATAAAAACCAGTAAGTAAGGCTTTTCTCAATCAAGCAGTGCCACAACGAACCTATTGTGTCTAAAATGCAAAAGTGCTGAAAACAGCCCAGCTTTGCATACTTTTCAATCCCTGGTACTTTTATAAGCTAAGCCAAGAGATGTTTTATCAAATGCTCACAGATATGCGAATAAATTCTGGCGGCTTTATTTAGTAAACTTTAAATATTAATGCATTTAATGTTTATGAATAATCGATACTGACCGCAAAGATCTTATGAGCACGGTTGCCACACGACAAAATTTTTTTTGACCAGAATTTACAAAAAAAAGTTACCAAGTAACTTTTTACAATAAACTGTAAAAAATATGTAAAAATATATAAAAAGTGTTATTAAAAGAAAACTAAACAAATTAATTTCACATATGAGGCCATGACGGCCAGAAAAAAAATTTAGTAATATCGTCGCTAATGTGCGAAAATGCTCTTTCAATTACGATACCTTGTGCATGCATTTAGAACAGCGATGGGCATAGAGAGCTTTTACTCTGCTCTCGCCTATACAAAATGTATAGAAAGCTTAAAAGAGCTTTGCCCGCGGGCAAGGTAGTGCCCATCAGTGATTTAGAATGATACGCAAATTGGCAAATCGTCCAATTTCGAGTCTTCTTAGAAGGAGAGGATACTGGCTTTACAAAGTGTCGAATCCCACACTTTTTCCTAATGCCAACAACATTTTTACCTAAAAATTTCATTGCACCTACGTGATGCTACATATTATAGTCAATAGTCTTTTTTTGCACTATCGAATGGTCGTTGGCCACTATCGATATTCTTTCTTTGAGGAAATATACATATTCAGTCTAATTCTGAATACTCTCAGGGAGTATGTTCTCCGGGAATTTGTTTCTCCCGAGAAAGAAATCCTCCAATAATTAACTCTCAGGGAGTAGTATTTTCCCGAAAGTTCGGGAGGAGAAAATTCGAACTCCGCAAGAGCCGTTTGACACTTTTTTGACAGCTTAACTGCGCCATTTAATATAAAAAATCCTCAGGGAATTTTTATTCTTGATAGGAGGAAAGGGAAAAGAGAGAAAACTCCCAGGGAGTTTTTGACAGAACTGGCCTGATTGTTTAAGTATATTATATGTACTACTGCATTTATTTTATTTTTGAAAATGGGAATTTGGCAACATTGATTTGCTTACACATCACTGTTTTTTTTACCCATTTCCGTGTTTTACACGGTTCAAGTATTGAATTCAATTCTGATTGCTAGTGGAAGAGAGGGATCTAAAGTTATCCGGTAACATACCTAAAAAAATATATATATTCCGACGAATTGATAACCTCCTCTTTTTTTGAAGTCGGTTAAAAACTAGTTTGAATATCTTTTTGGAACCTTACTATGGTGTTAGTGCTTCTGCGTCGATGGAAGAAACTGTTGATATAACCCAGGGTTTGTCATATTTTGGGGATGCTTGCATATCCTTTTGATACTTTGAATGGATAAATAATCATGTAGAAGTCGGGGTAAGGTTCGGCTATTTGTAAAATGATTTGGGTTCTTGTAGCATCGCTAGAAATATGGACTTTTCCGTAAATTTTGGAGTGAGTTCCATGCAAAAATATTGTGGCCGGAGTCGACTGATGAAAGTTTTTTGTAATACATACTGTTTTCTTAACGTTTACAAGCGATTTGTTTTTCTACGATTGGGAATTTCAGGTTTTTATATTATCGGTTTAAAATATTTAAAAAATCGAAGAGGAAGGACAAAGTTACTGAAAATCGCTATATAACACATATCTAATTCTTCGGGAACTAAACAAAAATAAAAGTTTATATAAATAGCTTCGTCAACACATTTTAAAATGATCCGATGCTATCGATAGTATCGATAGTTTCAATGCAAACTATCGAAAATATCGAATGGGATGACTATCGATAGTTTTACAGCTCTAATAGTCAAAGAAAAATAAAAGGCCGTGCCTCGGGCTATTACCGTTTCGATTCTGGTAATGCATTTTAAGGTGCACCTCAACTTTTTTTGAAATATCAGTTAAGCTACTTTGGCGCTGAAGGCCTAATATAATACATTTACATACGTATATAAATACATTTTTATTCAATCTGTGTACATGAACAAATAAAGAAGAATATAACAAACATTTGGGAGTAAAACAACACATAACTAGTTTAGCAACGCACCCGTTTCAAAATACACTTTTCATAAAAACGCGCTTTAAGCTCTTGTCTTTTGAACGGGATCTAAGCCTCAGAACAAAAAGCAGGGTACGGAGAATATTTAAAATATTATTTGTATTTTATTAATAATTATTTACAGCAAACATTTGGCTCGAATTAAACGCTTTTTAAAATTCTCGATTATAAAAAATTCTTTTTATCATTCGAGCTAGAGAGCACAAGCGCAACCACTTTGAGCAAATAAAAATACGAACAAATTAAAAAAGACTGTCATAT